GCAGGATGCGGGAATCTCGGGAAGGCATCCATTCCAGCGGCAAAACTCAGAAATCAGTAGTGTTCTCAGTCTATGTTTTGGCGGGTCATTACACTACCCCCCCCCCCTCGAGAGCGAGGTCCCTTCGAGTGAGTAACTCACTCAGAGTCCCTGCGCAACGCATGATAGGCATAGATGGCAAAGAGTGATTGGGTATGTTCCGTAGGAGTGAGGGAAGCAGTAAACTTCGGTTGCTGTTTGGAGGCAATCAGTTGTTCGTAGGCTTTGACGACTAGGGGTGCACTCTGCAGCAAGTCTTTCCTATAAATCCAGTAAAAATCATATAATGGGTGATACAAAAAATGGACCTTGTATTGCCTGTTCTTCCCCTTTCCATTGTGTTCGACAATTCTATCAATTTCGTGACCGCAATTGCACAAGGGATCATCGATTCTCGATACAGAAAAGTTTCAGGTGACCGATATGGAAACAACTTCGATGCGTGAAAGACTGGGTACGTGCGTAGATGAGAAGGCACGTCAATCGTATAAGGAGGACCGAATAAATCATCCCCAACCTGGTTCAGTACCTTCCACGGACCGTAATATTGAGGAAGAAGCTTTCGTGACACACCTTCTTCTTCAAAAAACTCAGACATTTTGACCCAGACGTAACTTCCCATTGTAAAAGGTTCAGGTTGGCGCTTCTTGTTAGCATGTTTAATCATGGCATTGCGTCACCTCTCCATAGCTGCAACAACAACTCTGAACAAGCAATCAAACTTAGGGTTGTAGCCAGGCTGGCCAGGTGTTAGACCAGGTTTCGGATCAGGACACAGGATAGGGGATTGTGAATCTGCCACCTGAGGTGCAACCGATTAGGTGTCATCCCGGTGGAGGAGTGTATGGAGTTGTTGTACAACCCCTGCACAATCGGTAATTCCTCATCCCACGCGTTCTGATAGGGAAAAATTACGGCATGCAAAAGTTGGATCACGGTCTGGTTGATCTCCTCATCCATTGGCTTCGCGATGTCGACCAGATGTCATCTTGAGTTTGATGTCATAGATCTGGGAGGTGAAGTCCTTCCAATGTGCACTTATGAACCTAGTGTCCCGGTCACTCACAAGAGTCTTCGGGGGGCCATACTGCAGAATGTACCTCTTGTTAAATTCCTCGATCACAAGGTCAGTTGGGGCGTGAGGTGGCAATAAAATCAAATTCAGAAATTTTGAAAAGCGGTCAACGATCACCATCACTTGCGGATATCCGTTCCTGCTCTTCTTTCTCATGTTTGTGAAGTCAATGGAGACGGACTCTCCAGGGCCATCAGGGATAGGAAGAGGATGCAGCAGACCAAAGGGTTTTTGCCGATATGGTTTGATGCATTGACACACTTGACACAGCCACAAATTTTTGGGCCATTGATATCATCGCAGGCCAAACAAACTTTTCGAACAAGCTTCCGTAGGTCTTTCCAAAACCGAAGTGTCCACTCCGCCTATGAGCCAAGTCCAAGAAGTGAGTGCGGAGAGGCTCATGGTTGGGTACACACAACTGCTCATGCTTTCCGTAACGTCAGAAGAGCAAACCTTCACGCTCGTGGAAATCAGGCTGACTGCTAGAGTCAGCTTTGATCTGCTCAAGGATGGGACCGAGTTTCGTATCCTTGGCAGTTTGCTCAACTAGTTCCTCCTTGAGTTTCTTCCAAAGGTCGTAGGAGCTCACAAGGCAAGTCATGTACTCAGGGTGGTGAGATAAAACATCCGCAACGCGATTGTAACAACCTTTTTTGTGTTTGAATTCAAAATCATACACATCAATCTCATGCAGCCAGAGGGGCAATGTAATTGATGGATTAATTTGTGTCTTGATCTATTTCAAAGAGAACACTTCGAAATAACGACCCAAGAGGTAGTGTTTCCAATGATCTAGTGCGCCTCTCAAGGCATAGAGTTCTCTCATGTAGGTGGAGGTAGCTACCTTGTGACTCGCCAGGCGTTTGCTGTGGTACCCAAGTGGGCGTGAGTCGTCACCATCATCTTGTTGCAACACTGCGTTGATCGCGTACAAGCTCGCATTCGTAGTTACTACGAATGTAAGTTTGGGATCTACAATGCGGAGCACCGGATGACTCAAAAGCGGTCGTACATTCCCCATCTCATGTGTAAGACACGTTCTTGCTTGTCAATTTGGACAATGGACGGGCAATGATAGAAAATTTGGGGACAAACTTACGATAATATGACGCGAGACCAAGGAAAGAACACAACTCTCTGACATTAGCTGGTTGAGGCCATTTGCGGATGATCTCAACTTTCGTTACCTCGGGATCTACTCTTGCAGCAGAGAACCGATGTCCAAGGTAGATGATGTTGTCCCTCCCAAACTCAAATTTCTCTAAGTTGAGATGGAGTTGTGCCTCCTTGGGGATCTGCAACACTTCCTCAAGGTGTCTCATGTGCTCCTCCATCGACTTGTTGAAGATTAATATGTCATCCAAATAAACAACAACAAATTGATTGATCTAACTGCGGAACACCTGATCCTTGAGACTTTGGAATGTGGTCGGCGCATTCATTAGACCGAAGGGCATGACGGTAAATTCGTACAACCCATCGCGAGTTTTGAACGCAGTTTTATGCTGGTCTGCAACATCGCGAGTTTTGAACGCAGTTTTATGCTGGTCCGCAGGGTCGACTTCAATCTGGTGGTAACCAGACTTGAGGTCAATCTTGCAGAAGACCTTGCATCCACCTGCAACATCAAGCAAATCATCAATGTGTGGCACAAGGTATGCATTATTTCTTGTTATTCTCTTCATTTTGCGGTAATCAAGACACATCCGTAATTTGCCTCCTTTCTTAGGGACAAACAAAACTGGTGCACCGAATTTGGATTCGCTGGACTTGATCCATCATTTTTCAAGCATGTCATCGATTTGTCTCACAACTCCTCCAATCCGCTTGAGCCCATTCGATAGACACATCTTGTTGGAGAGTTGCCTTTTATCAACTCGATCTTGTGTTGGACCGGGCGGGCGAACGGGAACTCCACGTAGTTCAGCCAAAACTTCAGGGAATCGGTTAAGAAGACTGCGGATCTCTGATGGGATCTCCGGAGGTGGAAAATCAAAATTTGGTGCAAGCATATCGGACTGCTTAGGTGCAGCCAAAACAACAGGATTTGAAGTAGAACTGTTTGGACTAGAAGTAGATTCAATAGAGGAAAAAGTAGAGGTAGAAGTAGTTGCATTGGAAGTAGAAACAACATGCAAAGTAAAACCATTACATACAACAAAAATAGAAGGCACATGAACAGGGCCAACAAAGGCTATATACGTTTGCTCATCATCTTTATGCATGCACCACTTCTTGCAGAATTTCATTGCGTTGAGAAAAGTCACACAGGACTCGCACGGCTCGTCCAAGAGGACTGGACGCTCGATCCCCGTGGCATCTTTGACCACAAATTGTGAGTCCTTCCACGTGGTTCTTCCTCATTGGGTTTGCAACCAGCCCGGGCCAATAACCGCGTCGAAGGGGCATTTATCAAGGATATAGAAGTTCAGCTCATGTGTGATTGTTCGGACTACATAAAGATAGTGCGCACACCTTTAACTGCATGCGTAGATGTGACAACCTCTTGGTTGCTCACTTGGGTCCAACAAGGATTCTGCAAAACTGCTTGCTTCATTCCCAAGAGTGCCTTACGAATGTCGTGCGGTGAGAAGTAGTTGGCGGTTGCGCCACAATCAGCCAACGCACGGATGTATCGGCCCATTACTGCGAAGCTTGAAGAAGATCAACTTTGTTTTCCCCTACGCGCACTCTTGCTTCATTTGAGCTTGAAGAAGATCAACTTTGTTTTCCCCTACGCGCACTCTTGCTTCATTTGAGCCCAGTGCAACTGGAGAGCATGAAAGGCAATCTCTTCCAACTCCGCCCAAGGCTCCTTGTAGAGGATATGCAGTTTCTCAGTATTGGAATCAGCATCAGATAGGGTCTCAAGAGAGGATTGTTGAGTGGGATCAGAGTCCGTAGAAGGACCTGCACTTACTTATTCAGCCTCTCCTTTTGTAGAGTGCGCTGATAATATCTCTACCCCCTTTGCAGGTTTCGTTGCTGCAATCGAAAACATTGTTGGACTGAATGTCCCGTTTTGTGCAATGCAGGCAAACCCATTTCTTTATCTTGTGCTTCCACTCACTTTACCAGGATCCTCCGAACTGGGTGGAATCTTTGCTCCTTTGGGGAGGTGAATGGTGTTAGTATTGTTCTTCACAAGTTCCTCAGCCTCTTACTCTTGAAGGCAATCTTTTTAAAGGCATTCATTGATTCATCATCATCTGCAGTTTCAGACTCGTCAGCCAAAGAACACACCAGGTCAGCATCTTGCTCTTGATCATCAACAAGAGTAAAACCCGTTGCACCACTCTGATCATCAGACTCCAGCAGGTCGTGTGATGCAAAACGGGTATTGTCTCCATGTTGTTTGTGACCAAAGGTCTTGTTGACATTACCTGCCGCATGGAAGAGGTCTTGTGCCTCTAGCCTGACTACGCCCTTCATGAGGTCTTGTGCCTCTAGCCTGACTATGCCCTTCATGACGAAGCACTGGGTCACGGTCACCATGCCAACCCACCGGGAGTAGAGCACGCATGCTTTGCTGCTTGTCCTTTGTTCGGCTCACTGCGTTGTTAGATGGGTTCTGAGGGGCAGGCCAGCCCTATGCGTGAGATGAGAACCGGGTGTCTATAAATAAACACCGGTAGGGGAAACCATTGGTTGTGATCGTCGTCCTGTTTGCGACCTTAAATAATTCCTGCGGACACGTGGGGGCGGTCCTTAAATAGCCTCTTGACCAGCCAATCAGTGTAAGGCTCGTTGCACGCGAGGATAAACAATGTGCTAGAGCTGGCCAGCTCAGCAGGACTCGGGCCACAGGGGTGGGCCGATTGCACACCTTTAGACACGCACTGCTCTCTGGATGGCTCAGGGACGCTGACGTCAAGCGACATTCAAGAGGAACTGAGGGAGGCGTAGATTTCAGGTGATAAGTTTGGGAAAAATTCCATACCGTCCCAGTCCACACAAATGATTTTATTTTTATGTTTTGATTAGTTAGATGTACATCCATTAACATCTGACAGACAACATATTAGAATTGTTTTCTGTTCATTGTGCATTATGTTTGAGAACTAGTAAAACTAAAAATAGTTTTGTTTGTAGGAATCTGAACTTACATGTTGGACCCGAATGTATAGTCTCTGACATAGCCGCCGATTAATTATTTTATTTTATTATAAATCGGTCTGAACATGGTACTGCGGTAGGCATCGACTGAGTGTCCTAGTGCAGGTATTGTACAATGTTGTAGCCTATGAGTGACATGGAGGTTCCACAACCGGACGACCGACTCTTTCAATCGGCTAGACGCCCGATTGCCCATTTGGCATTAGGACCAGAGGGCGACAGATACTTGTTCCGCCAGCAGAGAGAGAGGCAGCAATAGCAGAGAAGAGCTAGGGCCGCAGAGGCAAGCAGGGCATTCGTAAGCGAGGTCGCTACTTCAGTAGTCATGGCCACTGCTGCGCAGCAGACTTCTCAGGCCGGTAGTTCAAGATCTGTAGGGTGAACGGTCGCGCAGACCTTGACTCAGTCCACTGGCGTAATGGCAAGCCAGCCCTTAGTGATGACTCCCGAGGAGGTCGCCATACAGCGAGCTGCTGATCGCGAGGCACAACTACAACAGGCTTTGGGTGAGATTAAGGCGGAGAAAAAGAGAATGATTAGAAGAAGAGCAAGGATGCAGAGAAGCCAAGCAGACATTAGTGAGTTAGAGGGGATGGACCCATCAGAGATGGAGGATGATGTGAGGACCATACGGTCGGTCTTGTTAAGTGTAGTAGAGATGCAAGATCACCAGATGGAGATCTTACAGGACATCCAACAAAGTCTGGCTGTGTTAGTCGGGCGAGTGCAGGCGGTACCATCACCGTCCGGGCTCGGTTACTGGGGTTTCCCCATATACATCTCCAGCATCAGTCCAGACCGTTTCCTTGGGTATGCCGTTGACAAGCAGGTTCTCAGCAGGTCCTAGTTTGCAGGTTCCTGTACAGACAATGTTCTCACAACCTCCGTCTCAGGTTGCCGTAAGCGAGCAACCGGATGTCTCGCAGCCTGTACAGCCGCAGGGTACTCAGCCCCAGCAGTAGCTAGTGCAGCAGCCTGCACCACAGGGTCCACAGCCCGGAGTGGTACAGGTACCGAGACAAAGTCAGTGGGTACCAAAGACGGCCATCGCCGCTCCTAAACCCTTTACAGGGGATAAGAGGGGCGAAGACCTCGACACTTGGTTGAGGGCAGTGTCGGTCTGCGTCAAGTGCAAACTCACCTTGCCACACGAGGAAGTGCTTGTGGCTGCCTCCTATCTAGAGGGGAGTGCAGCACGATGGTTGAGTGGTTTAGTGCAGCTACAGGGGTACGGTCATGACTTTCTCGCTTGCGAGGTCACCCAGAAATTGGATGACTTCCTCAAGTTGGTGGAAGACAGGTGGCATGATCCTCAGGAAGCCCAAAAGGCTACTGATGCGATCCTGACACTGCATACTCGGCAGTTTAAGTCAGTAAGGGAGGCCACTGACACTGTAGAGCGTCTGATCTGTGTCCCTGGGGTGCGCTATGACCCGCAGGTCTTACTCACCTCCTACTTGAGATGCTTTCCCATGCCTCTCAGGAATCAGTTGGCAGGTGAGGCCAACATCAATATGCACAACTTTCCCTCGTTTAGCAAGAAGGCCCTAGACCTTGAGGCAAAGATAGGGCATGGACAAACACCCACTACGGATGGTAGGAGAAAGTCACTGCCTCCCAACTGGAAGGCGAAGGGTCGCATTATGTTTGTCGATAACGATGGTTCAACCATCGAGTTAGATGACAACTTCCAGGAGGGAGTAGGTTTAGAGGCTAGCAGCGTAGAGGCTTCAGGGGGTGGAGTAGTCGCTGCCGTAGCTCAAAAAGGTAAGGCGACCGATAGACGTCGTGGAGGTTCCCGGTCAAGGAGTCAAGTAGACCCCAATGCTCCCCCATGGGAGAAAGCGGGTCTCACAGAGGACGTGTGGAGAGACCGGTACACCCAGCAAGCTTGCATTCGTTGTGGCCAATATGGCCATAACCAATTCAAGTGTCGTAACAAAAAGGTGACGGAGAAGATCCCGCCTACGATGGGGCAGGCGTTGGGATCCTCCACTCCCGTTGGAAGCAATGTGGCCAGCAGTTCTGGCACCGCTCCGAGAAACACGTCGGGCCAGTAGGAATAGTAGTTGTTCCTCCTAGGGTCGAGGTGGTGGACACACCCTCACCATCTCGAGAGATGGCCCAAGCTACTGACTCCATAGTCATCCCGCAAACACATTCTGACCCATCAAGCCTCTGTTCGATGAATGTGTTCGAGTCCTTAGAGGAGCTAGAGGGAGTGGTCTAGATCAGACCCGCTAGCTGCTTGGACGGCACTGGTCAAAGCCCCCAAGGGTGAGATGTTCGTCAGCGAGGTGGTCATTGGGGGCCGCAAGGGCGGGGCCTATTATGACACTTGCTCGACATGGAACTTCATTAGTCGCACGTGTTTTGAGAGGCTGCGCTTACAGGGGCAAGTGCAACGCCTGAGTAGACCTGTGCCAACAAACAACGCATAGTAGTTAATGACTACCTTCAGAATGTTGAGTGTTGTTTCCCGTACGTGGGAAGGGAACTGAGACATCATGTTCTGTTCCTAGTGAGTGATGATCTCCACATGGATATCTTGTTAGGTATGTACTACCTCTCTGTGGCACAGCCCCAGTTTGACTGGGACCGAAAAGTGGTCAAACACACTTTGCCAGGTGGAGGGACCGCCAGATTACGTAAGTTCAAAGCTAGTAGTCTGATCGAGTCCTATGGATGCATGTGTGCGGCCGAGTTCTATAATTATTATAAGCAAAATCAGGAGGAGGGTATGCATCTAGTTTACGTCTTTGCTGCAGACGAGCCGGTGAAAATGCCGCCGGAAATAGAGGGAGTAGTCGCTAAGTACCTTGATCTATTTGAAGAGTCGACAGGGGTTGTTGAGAGGAAGGTCGTCCATGCGACAAGGTCTAGCATCCCGAAGGGTAGGATCTATCGGATGTCTCCAGGCGAGCTTGACGAGCTTCGCCAGCAACTCAAAGAACTCATAGAGAAGGGGTGGATCCAGCTAAGTGTCTCTCCTTACGGTTCTCCAGTCTAATTCGTACCAAAGAAGGGGGGCATTTTGAGGATGTGCATTGACTATAGGGGCCTCAATGCCATCACTGTCAAGAACCGAGAGCGCCTACCGCGCATCGATGATTTGCTAGATAGAGTGCAAGGGTGTCGGTACTTCAGCACGATAGATTTGAAATCCGGGTACCATCAAATTGCAATCCGGCCCGAGGATCAACACAAAACTGCTTTTCAAACCAGGTACGGTCTGTACGAGTTTGTGGTGATGCCTTTCGGCCTTTGCAATGCTCCTGGCACCTTTCAGCACGCTATGAATCATATCTTTCATGACTACTTGGATAAGTTTGTCATCGTGTACCTCAATGACATACTTATTTTTAGTAAGACTGTCGAAGAGCACGTTGCGCACTTGGACAAAGTCCTTGGTCTTCTTCGACAGCACAAGTTCAAGATCAACGGTGAGAAGTGCGAGTTTGGCCGCACCCGTGTCTTGTACTTGGGTCATGAGATTTCCTCGGAGGGATTGAAGTCCGATGACACGAAGGTGGCCAGCATTCGTGACTGGCCGCGTCCTCAGTCTGTAATTGAGATGAGGTCCTTAGGGATGACAGGCTACTCCCGCAATCTTGTTCAAAATTACAGCATAGTGGTCGCCCCTTTGACGGACCTGACTCGCCTTGACACCCCATGGGAGTGACAAACAGGTGTGAGGCTGCTTTCAAACAATTGAAGCATGCGTTGACACACCATGAGGTCTTGAAACTTCCTGATCCTGACAAACCTTTTGTAGTAACTACGGATGCTAGCCAATATGGCATAGGCGCCGTACTTGCGCAGCAGGAGGGCAAAAAGTTGAGGCCGGTAGAGTACATGTCCAAGAAGATGCCCTCTCAAAAGCTGGCTAAGTCTACCTATGAGAAGGAGCTCTACGCAATCTACAAAGCGCTCACCCATTGGAGGCACTACCTCCTTGGTCGCTTCTTCTATGTCAGGGCTGATCATCAAACCCTCAGATGGATGAAGACTCAACCGGTACTCTCCGATGCTCTGAAGCGTTGTATCGAAGTCATTGAGCAATATGACTTCGAACCCCAGTACATCAAGGGGGAGTACAACAAAGTTGCTGATGCGTTGTCGCGTAGACCAGATTTTCTCGGTGCGCTGGTCACCGAATTTGGGCTTGAGGACAATATTACTCGGTCTTTGGTGGATGCCTATCGCGAGGACCTGTTTATGGCCGAGATCATACACAAACTCGAGGCGAAAGACAAAGAGACTTCTCCTGAGTTTGAGTTGGTCAACGGCCTGCTGTTCCTTGAGAAGGCCGGGAATAAGCGTTTGTGTGTTCCTAATAGAGAGTCTTTGCGGAGTTTATTTCTAGGTGAGTGTCATGATGCCACCGGACATTTTGGTTTCAAGAAGACTGTAGCTAATCTGTTGCAGCGGTTTTGGTGGCCCACAATGATGAGAGATGCCAAACTGTATGTCGAGACTTGTAAAGTTTGTCAACATGACAAGTCCCGGACACAGGCTCCTCTTGGGTTGCTCAAACCCCTTCCGATTCGGGAAAGGCCTGGTGAAAGCCTGTCCATGGACTTCATGGATACGCTAGTCACCAGCAAGAGTGGCATGAGGTACATCTACGTCATTGTGGATAGATTTAGTAAGTATGCTAGGTTAGTGGCCATGCCGAAAACAGCAAAGACCGAGTACGTTATGAAGCTATTTAAGGAAAACTGGGTTAGAGACTTTGGCCTGCCGAAGTCTATAATCAGCGACAGGGATGTCCGATTCACCAGTGAATTGTGGAAGGCCGCAGCTGCAGAACAAGGAACGCAGCTGCAGATGACATCTGGAAATCATCCGGAGGCAAATGGACAGGCAGAGCAGATGAACCCCGCTGTTCAACACTTGTTGAGGCACTACATTAAGCCCAATCAAGTGGACTGGGATGAGAAGCTTGCTCTCATCGCCAGCCTGTATAACAACGCAGTTCATAGTGCCACGGGAGTAAGTCCAAATAGCCTACTTCTAACGTTCAAACGCAGACTTCCCCTTGATTTTCTACTACCTGAGAACCAGTCTACAGCTGCTCCAGGCACTTTGGAATTCGCTTACAGATATGAGAATCATATGCAGCACGCAGTAGAGCACATGCACAAAGCACAGGCGGCGATGATCGAATCTGAGAACAAGCACTGACGCCCATCTATGTTTCAGGTAGGGGACAGGGTCTGGGTCAAGGCTTCTGAACTGGGATAGGAGCACGGGATTTCCCGAAAACTCATGCCAAAGTACTTTGGACCGTGGGAGGTTTTAGATATAGTTGGGGATGAACCAGACGGACCTTCATATGTTATTCCGCTTCCCGAACATCTTCGCACTTGCCCTGTTTTTCACGTTTCTAAGCTTGCACCTTTCAAAGAATCCCTTCGCGACGCTCAATGCTGCCCCCAACCAGAAATTGACCAGTTCCCTTCGCGACGCTCAATGCTGCCCCCAACCATGGATGAAGAGGTCGCCATTGATGAAATCGTGGAACATAAAGAAATGCCAGTTCCAAGACCGACCGGCAGGGGACGTCCTCCAAAATCGAAGCTGCAGTACCGAGTTCGGTTCAGACATCACACTGATCCAAAGGAGGATAGGTGGTTCACAAGGGAGAAACTGATGCAAACCGCTCGACACAGGTTGTCGCTCACTATAAGAAGTCTCTGCAAAAAGGAAAGCGCCAGATTATCGAAGACTAAACTTCTCAGAGGACTATCGAAGTTATGGAGGAGGGAATGCGAGGCCAAGGCCCCAATGAGCCCCTTTTCGGCCCTGTCATGCAATATGTCGGCCGCCCTAAGTGAAGGCAGGCTCAATGAGGGCCTGAGGGCCCCTATTTCGTACACCACGCAACTGAGGAAAATTCAGGCAGTTGCGCAGCGGCAGTTGGTTGAGAGCACCCAGGTCCAGGCCGCCTGTTTGCATGTATGGAAGGCAGGCCCTGGGCTGGATATGGGATATGGGCCAAACACAGGCGAAGGGCAGTTGGGCACAAGTAACCACCACAGGCCCTGGGCCTGATTCGTTTGGACTGGGCCTCAGCCTACCGGGGCCTACCGGAAGCTTCTTGGGAAAGTCCCAGCGCAGCAGCATGCAGGCCACTTCCATACAGCAAAGGGCCTGCCTCCGCATTTGGTATTCGGGCACTGGCTGCTTTGTGCACAAGCGCTGCTGCGCTATCGCCTGTCAGGCTCACGCGCTCACGGGCGAGCTGGAAGGAGCAGGCAGCCATAGCCGAGCTGCGCTGCTGTATGCTGGATGGGCGCATGGTGGTCCTTGGGTGCAACTGGCATCTGTGAGTTGGGGAACGAGGTTGTGAGTGATACGAGAGACATACCTGGCGCTTGAGGTGACGGCATTGTCCGCGATCTGCTCGTACTTCAGTGAAGCTGTTGACGTCATCTGGCAGCATTGTAGAGTAGGCTAGATAGGATCTGCCATCTGTAGTCTGGGCGCCGAGCGCCAGATAGGATATCAACATTGGTTCTTCGTTGATGATGATGAGACTATACCAGCATTGTCAATTATGAGCTCTTGGTGTGTTCTTATTTGGTGAAACTTGGTTGCAATTCTACTTTTGGTTCGAGGTCACGACTATCTGGTCTCATGTGTCTGATGCTGTTTTGATTGCTGAACTTCGCTATCGCTCATCTTCCTTGCATTTCTTTTTTTCTCTTTTTTTTTTTGTCCTATACTCTTCCTTGCGTAGCCTTGAGGTGACTTGTCTTTTTGTTTTTTTTCCTCTTCTTGCCAATCATTTCTTTTGTTCATTTGAAACCTGACCTTACAATTTTCTCTTTTTTCTTTCCACAAAATAATCCTTCCCCCTTCTCAAATTCCTTTCTTCAAAAAAGAAAAAACGAAAAATCCTTTTTTTCCCGGTCATTCGGGCCCAGGGCCCACTTGGATGTGTTTGCGGACAGGCGGAACAACTGGGTTATGCCTCGCTGCATAAAACACATTCGGATGAATCTGGACGTGTTTGCAGACAGGTGCAGAAAAATCACGACTAACATGGTTATGCATCTCTGCATAAAACCGCCCAACCCAATCCTTCTGGCTAGTGGAGCCTACATATCCGTGATTTCCTCGTTGGCCCACTTGCTCACTGTCTCTCTCCCCCAATCTCCTTAATTCTTTTTCTTTTTTACTCTTGTTTTGCTTTTTCCTTTTCTTTTTTTTCCTTTTTTTTCTTTTCGTCTTGTCTTCTTTTTTTTTTTCCTTTTTTTTT